CCAGGGAGGGGGCGCCCCTGGCGGGGCGGGGAGCCGAGGCCTGTCTGGGGTCCTGGGCACCGCCGGCTACCCAGTCAGGGTCCTGCCCTTCTTCCTCCCTCGGACACCCCGTCCTCACCCCGCTCCAGCCTCAGGGGTGCTCCCCGATCTGGGTCACCACCTCCCCACGCCCCTCCCCCCGAGAGGCCCCGCCTGGCCTGTGCCTCTCCCACGCCACCTGCCAGGAGTCCCTTCCTCCCCCTGGGTGGGTCCTGGGACAGAAGACAGGCCGAGAGTGGATGGATGAGCAGGCCAAGGCTGGAGGCCGGTCCCCAGTGACCGCTGCCGCCCGGATGAGGCTGCTGGGGGGTGTGGACAAAGGGGCCACATGCTGACCTCACAGCTCAGGGGAGGCTTGCGTGGCCGTCTTGCAGACTCAGACCTAAAGTCACCACAAAGGATGGTCTGAAATTAAACTTGAACTAAAGCAGTGATGGTGGCAGTTACGCCCTGGGCCGGTATCTTCCCTGACAAGGTCAATTTTACCTTCACTGAGCCTTTTGCATCTATAACACACCCTTGAGATGTCTGGGTCACGTGTGACTTCCCGGTATCTGGAGCCCCTGGGGCACAGCCAGGTGTGCTGGGCCCAGGACAGAGACCCCAGATTCCTTCATCATCATGTTAACTGTTCCTGCACCCACCTAAGCATGTGTCCATCATTTTACTTTTATCCAATCCCAGGGGTTTCCCTGCTTCGCTTCATCCCTCCTCCTTAATCTGTCACCAATGGATTCATGTAACCCTCCTAGGTCCCTCCTTTGATTGGATGTATAAATACAGATGTAACCCTGCCATTCTCTGGATCACTATCTCGATTTGTTGAGGTTCTGCTTCCCAGCACATGTCGACAGTTTGGCTCAAATAAACTCACAAAATTCTTTACAGGCTTCAGTGGTTTTTACGTTAACAGGGGGAAGCTGCAGGAACGCCCACCCTGACCCTGCAGGTCTGAAGTCCTCTCCTCGGGGCTTTATCTCAGGTCCCGGCCCTCAGCCACTGCCCTGTCTCCCTGGCCCGTGGCAGGTCCGATGCCCCTAAGCCCCTCCAGGGTGTGGCTGTCTGCAGTGGCGACCCTGAGCGCCAGGCACCCCCACCCCAGCCTGGCCTGCCGGCCTCAGTTTCGGGTCAGAGGACAAAGTCAGGGCCACACGCTTCTGTCTCTGGTCTGGGGCCCCGTGGGGACTTGTTCTCCAGCTCAGCTCAGCCTGGGGCACAGGAGCCCACTGTTGGGGTCCACTGTCGGGGCTCGAGCCGCTCCCCTCACCCAGCCCCTGGCGCTGTGGGCCCACTGTGCATCACTGTGCCGAGTGAGGCGGTGCCTGATCCTAGGCCAGTATGCGGTGGCGGAACCCCATGCAGTCCGGGTCTCACTGCCCTGGGACACGCAGGACCACGCCACTTCACAACAGGGAAACTGAGGCTCACTGTGCACCCCCACGTGAAGTTTGGGGGGCCAGGTGCACAGAGACCCAGGTCCAGGGACCCTGAGCCCCTCCCCTCCTGCCTTCTGCCCGGGTCACGGGGGCTCAGGCCGTTGGAGGTCGGGCCCTGAGGGAGTTTGTGAGGTTCCCATGTCCTGACTGTGGGGCAGCAGGCCCCAGGCCCCAGCCCCCCGCCC